TTTGAGACACTTCCTGTTCCTATCCCTATGCCCAAGCAGTGCTCCCTTCAGAAATCATTCATCCACTTCATCTGGCATAATAAATCTCACTGAATAGCCCATACTGTCCTTTTTTCCCCTTGATCTAGGGGGTCTGGGGACCCCATACATTGTGATGTACTATTTAGCTACCCACCTCCAGGCCCTTGTCTCATGGTTCTCCCAGAGCCCCCCTAATAAATGGGCCGAAAATGCATGGTTACAACTCAGTCCAACACACCCTTGTTCTCTCCTCTGGTCTTTGACCCACACTGACATCTCCTCTTACAATCATCTCCTGCTTGGACCCATGCAGTTTTCGTTATCTATATGGAGGTGGTGTAGGGTTAAATTCACTCTATCCTCCCTGTGTTCCCCCTTGACCAATGTCATATTCACTCCATGCCTCCCAGATAGCCTGGCCTTGGCTCATATGCGTCCCTGGATTGAGGCCAACCTATTTCACCTGCGACACTCAGTCCATCCAGCGACTCGTAAGCTTAAATCCTTCCTGATATCCTTATATTCAAAAAGCCACTCGTATGCCGCCACACCAATATTATGCTTATCTACAGATACTCCATTTCTTTTCCTCCAAAACGTCTTCCCTGACTCTTGAGAAGCCTACCCCCTTTGAGCGTATCTGTATCCAAGGTCCATATACCAATGGGGCATAATTTCCTCTACGTATAAGCTGCTTTTAGACGCCTGCCTCCTCTCTATTGTTATCCAACTTTATATGCATAAATGTTCCCGAATCCTCCAGTGTGACATTGCCTTAGATCAATGGAGCAGGATTTGGTGGCTGCTTCCAAAACTTCTATATGTGTAGTATATAAAGAAAATCCTGATGTTTTGGTATAAGACTCCCGAGGTTCTCCATACTCGTAATCTGATTGTTTCTTCTGTCTGCTGGCATTGTGGCAAGGAAATTGGCCCTCTTTTTTCACATTTTTTGGGCCTGCCAATACATTTGCCCTTTTGGAAAGAGGTCCTTACCCTACTTCAGCTACTTTTGCGGGCTTCTATTCCATTTGAGCCCTTTCATTTTTTGTTGGACCTACCTTTTTTCAAGCCTCTGCAGACTTGCAAGGAAACTTTCCTCTTACGTTCTAATGGCGGCCAGGAGGAGAACCATTCCCATGCATTGGCTTTCTACTATGCCCCCTACGCTATCAGAATTGATGAAGGTTATAGCAGAGATTCCAAAAATGGAATACCTAACTGCTTTGCACGCTAACTCTGTTCCCACATTTGAAGCAGTTTAGAACCCATGGGATACTTCTAGTTCTGACTTGTCTGCTCAAAATGTTTGACAATGTTTGCTAGTTCACTGTTAAGTGTTGACATTGTATTTATCTATGTACCTCTCAACAATGAGCCTGTTTTTCTGGTTTTCTCTTATGCTTCTTTGTGTTTGTCATATCTATGCATTCCTGTTTGTTGTAAATGTTTGAAACTCAATAAAAAGTTAACTACAAAAAAAAAAAAAAAGCTGTTATCAGTATGCAAAAATCTATAGTGGGGCTGCAATGAGCTTTATACTGATAACCAAACAGATATCTTATCAGTATTGCTTTTTCTACTTGTGCTTAACCCTTTTGCTGTCAGAGCTGTTTTTGCACACATGTTTTAAAAAATCTGAAGATTACAAAAAAAACCCAAAACATTATATATTTTTTGAAAGCTAGTTCCAATTTTTTATGTCACACGTTATTACCACAAAGGTCTAAGAAATGCAAAATTTCAGTAAAAAACACACTCAAGTGAATTTTATGGCAAACAAATGCAATGATTTACCCAAATTTTGGTAAAATATAAAAGACAAGGTTGCGGCGAGTAAATAGATACCCAATTTTTCAAAAGTTAAATTTTTGTGCGCCTATGAAATGGTGACAAGCTTCAGTACCCTAAATTTTCTATAGGCGACATTTTAAAAGACCCTTTAGGTCATTAGTTTAGTGTTACGCAGGAGGTCTTGTACTAGAATTATTGCACATACTTTGGTGTGCGCGGCAATATGTAACATGTGTATTATATATAAACAAATTGTTTTACTTACCTTTTTTTTTCATCACATAGGTGACACAAAGTCCCCTATGTAAAGATTTTTAGGTGACAGGTTCTCCTCTCGACCCCCGTTCAATGTATTTCAATGCAGACCGCATTGCAATACATTGCTTCTCGAGCAAGCTGAGAAAGTGACAGCGATGATCTTTAAGTGTTGTCACACACGTTCTCTTCTGGGTCACAGAAAAAAAGGGGAGGCGAGTGGACATCCGCCGGCACCTGCCATGACGCTCCCCGGGCTCAGAGATAGTAAAGCGGGGCCCAGATACATGGCGCGCATGGGGAGGTACCGGGGGCTGTGTAAGTGATCACGTGGCAGCACAGCCACCCAACTGCTTCCACTGGACAGGCAGTAGTCTGCCTGTCAGTTTTATACACAATTCTGGTAGCTGCAGCCACTGGATTTATATATAATCCCCCCCCCCCGCTGTCAGGTCCAGTTATGGACCTGGCAACAAAAGGATAAATCCCACCACCTTTTTAGTCCATTAGCTGAATGGATAGAAATGAACTAGTTAAAGTAATTAAAAAGCCTAAGTATTTTTTACCTTAATGCAGTCCTTGAATTAAGGTAAAAAATGTTGAGGCAGTAGTAATCCCCCCTCCCCCCATACCTATACTTACCAGAGCCCTAATTCTATCAAGCACTGTGCTTGTCTGCAGCTCTTCACTCCTCTCACTTCCTGGTCTCGCAGGCTTTGCTGACGAGGGATTGAGGGTTGGGGCCGAGCCGCACTATCTGTGTCTATAGACATAGGCAGTGAGGCTCGGGAGCAAGCAGCTTCCTATGGGGGCAATCGCTGGAGAGGATGAGCCAGAAGCACCAGGAAACCAGAGAAAAGGTTCGGGGCCACTCTGCAAATCCTTGCACAGAGCAGGTAAGTATAATCCTGTTTGTAAATGCAAACTTTTTATTAAAAAAATAACAATCACTTGTGGTAGCCAATCAGCCTCTAATGTCAGCTGTTCAAATTTCTTTGGCAATAAAATCTGGAAGGAGATTGGTTTCTATGCAGTTGCAACAGATTGTGCATTCTCCAGTTTTAGTAAATGATTAATAATATTGCCACAGCATATATCTTTGGAACGTTACATAAAAAGTGAAAAGATAAAAAATGTGAAAACAAGTAGGCTTTTTATTGCAGAAGAGACATACTACATTATGTCTCTTCTGCAATAAAGAATTCTTATCTGCCTGTGTACAATCTTCTTGACAATGTATCTTAGTTATCTAATTGGCCTATTAAAGTGAAACTATATTTCAAAAAACAAGCTAAAGATAGGCCTGAAGCAAGAAAAAAAAGAAAAAAAAAGTAGAGCTACTTGACTAGGGGGACAGGGGGAACAGGAAAGTTTAAAAAAAATTGGTGATAACATAGGAAGGTTGGGTATTTGCCTGATTGGCTAGATTGTAGCCTGTGGGTGGGCCAAAAGTTGGAGTATATGGGGTGAGATTTGGAAGATGGCAAAGCAGACGGAGCCATTGGACGAGAAGGATACTTCCCACCCTCCCATTCTGTTTTGGATATTTTTTGTGCTGGCTTAGTGTATTTGGGGTCTTTGAAAGCATTAAAACTTTCAGTACCAGTTCATAGTAGGGACCCATTTAAGGTATGGCATTCTCTGTTGGATCCCAGTTCAATGTGTGTTATCTGGGAGGTGGCAACAAGGACTTATCTGCGGAGTGGTGGATTTGTCCCCGAGCCCACATAATGCGGCTGGCAATGATTAAGTATCAACACAGATACAAACCTAATTTTGGTCATTTGACGCCTCCTAAAACCGGCAATTTTTTACGTCATTGTTAGTTGAGTAAAGTAAGTTGGGGAATATGACATTGGCACTTTGGTAAGAAGAACTGGTGGACATTTGTTGTACCCTAGTCAAGGAGTTACTTTCCGCTGGCCCAGATAATCAAGATGACCAAAGATCTCAAACCCAGGTACTTCGGACACCTCTCCTCCTCGGAGTTGCAGCAGAGGGGTGGGTCCACATCCTTGCCACGGGTGCTGAAGTTGAAGAGCTGGAGGGGCGGGCAGAGTATGCAGCAGGTCAGTGTGTAATCCCCGGACCCTGGTGACAGCACTGCAGCTTCATGTAGTAGGTGGGGGGGGAGAAAGAGGGCAGATGGGGGGGAGAAAAAGGGCAGAGAGAGGGAGGGGGGGAGAAAGAGGGCAGAGGGGGGGAGAAAAAGGGCAGAGAGAGAGAGGGGGTGTCACCAAGTGTTCCGGCACCGGGTGACACCAACCCTAGGGACGCCTCTGCTTAGGGGGCATATCTGAGCAGGCTAAGCATGACTTTGAATGCTCCTATCAGCTTATGTCCTGTTAGCCTTCAATTGAAAGTCAAACTCAGGCTGTTGCATTAAAGAAATACATTTAATGATTCATTATTTGATACACAGCTGCATAAATGTGTGTCTCTATTTCTGCCTGGGTTTCAACTTTGAAGCAGAAGGGCTCATGTACACAGGGCACTTTTCTGAATGCTGGAAACTGACTGCTAGAAAACGTAGGTTAAAAACAGCAGTTTAGCCTCATTTACCTACTGCATTTCTGCGCGTTTAGCCACGTTTATGCGTGTTTGCGTTTAGAAGCGTTTTTAAAAGATAACCTCAGGAGACCCTCCCAAATGCCCAGAATGCACTGAAAAATCGTAAATAATTAACATTTTCTGAAATTTATTGAGAAATAGAGAGCAGAAGCAGAGAGAGCAAAAGTGGCTCGTGAAACATGCTTGGCACTGTGGGAGGAGCTACATAGTGCTGTAATGCCTGTAATGCCTCCAGATGCATTCTGGAGTGCACACAACACTCCTTGTGCTTTGCTGCTGTGTTTTGATGTGTTCCAGTACAGTTCTGTGCAGAAATAATGCAGCACGCTCTACCATTTTTTCCTGCATGCGAAACCTGGAACTGACTGCACTGGTGTACTAGGTCCATTTGAATACATGGAAAACGCTGTGCATGCATTTTTAATGAAGAAAAAGGGCTCTAGACCAGGGGCGGACTGAAAACTCATGGGGCCCCCGGGCAATAGGGGATCATGGGGTCCCTGTGTCATCGCCCACACCCAAAAAAGCTTATGAAAAAGCCAATTAAAGGTACCAGGGGCATCTCATGGGGCCCCCTACTGACCCCGGGCCCTCGGGCAGTGCCCCAGTGCTCGAATGGTCAGTCCGCCCCTGCTCTAGACAGCATCTGGATATGGACCAGCCCAAAACGCATCTAAATGCAAACGCGCATAAACAAGTTTACAAGCATTTACACGCGGTTACAAGCATTTTGGCGTTTGAAACGCCAGTAAACTCTACTCCTGAACGTGATTTTTGTACTTTCAAAAAATGCTGCCTCTGCCTGTAAACTACTGTAAACGACTATGTGTACATGGACACATAGGAGAACATAAAGCAGAGTTCATTTTTTGAAAATGCTGAAAAAACCACACAACTGCTCCTATAAACTGCAGTTTAGTAGCTGCAGTGTAGATGAGCCCTAACTCTAGTTGCTTTTTTAAAAGAGTTTTTAAAACCCCAATGCATAACTTGCAGTCCGGGGAAATCAGCGCAGCCTCTTCTTCTCCTTCTGCTGCTCACCCCATAGGTCTAATTATGGCAGGTGTTAGATGTGCAGTTACATTTGATCTTATACATAGTGACAATGAACAACAGGCATGTTAATATCTTCCAATCTAAAAGAGCTGTCTGCTCATTTTTATGAAGTACCAAATATAACTGCAAGTCAGCAGCAGCTGTCATTTTTCACTGTGCCGTGTTTTTTGTCTTCACTTGTCTTCTTGCTGCCAGGTGCGGTAAGCTGTCATGTACAGGCACCTCTGGGTGGCTGTCTACCTGTCCCAACTTCCCTGTGTGTGTATAAGGCATTGGGGGGGTAGGGAGATAGGTATGAGCTGCATACCTAACGTGATGAAGCAATGTTTACTCGGAGTGACTTGTACATTTAGCAACTCTCTAGGTCACATACAATCCCAATCCCTAATTCAGATATATACTGATCTTTGCTTTGTTTGCACCTGTGAACATTTAAACTTGTAGAAGAGTAAAACCCAGTTCCATTGCAGCAAGTTAACAAAGTGTGCATATATCCACATTTACCCAGTTAAACTGCAGAGCCATTTTCACATTTCATAATAAATAACAGCGCAAAAAAATTAAATGAAGTCCACAATCTTAAATAATCTGGTTAAATGGTTAAGTGCTGTAATAAAAGAAATCTGTGTCAAAGAAAGGAAAGTCCAAAAATATATAATATATATCCCATTCCTTAAAGGCAAAAGATGATAACACCACGCAGTGCTCAGTGGACCCTCCCTTGTGTATTCCACACTCACCAGATATGATGGAGTCCTAGCTTTTTGGGCTTAAGAGTCAAAAATGCTTATTTCTGGTGAGATGTGCTCACAGAGATATCCAGGGTTCAATGGAGTACCAGACCCATATATATAGAGTATAGGTGCAATTCATCAGTATGTTCCATAATTCACCATGCGGGCAAGAGGGAAACAGAAAGGACACTAATAGTGTAATATTGTTGGGCTTATTTATTCAAATAAAACATCCTGAGCTAATCAAGATGGCTCCGGAGTGCCGCTATTCAGGTGCGCTCCACTCACCGGATGTGGTGTTACACAAAACTACTGGAACCGGAAATTGTATCAACGCGTTTCGCCCCTCCACCAGGGCGTCCTCACAGACAGTAATCTCCAGTCCCTGCATGCTAAATATACCCTCCCATCTTAGTGACTCACTTCCTGTTGGGTGTACTAGCTTCAAACTACTAGTAATGGATACTACTTCCTACTCCCAACCATACCGATCATGTAACACACAAACTAATACTTAAAATATCAATATAGCTAAAAAATATAAAAAAAAATCTATCCCCCCCAAAAAAAAATACAATTTAAAATTAAAATAAAAATGAAAATAAAAGTAAAAATTAAGTATAAGGACAGCCTAGGAACCATAATCCAGATAAGATAAAGGGAACTATATTCAAAGTGGGACAGGGAGCAAACTATGGTAATTCCCACATAGAACCCTAAAAAACCATAGGGTCCAAATGCAAGAAATTATACCAAACCAGCATTCTAAAAAAATTATATCAAAATAAAAGAAACCTAATTTTACCAGTTGGAAAGGAAATAATTCAGATCTATTTCTACATTTAACCCCTTGGAGACTAATGTGTCCAATTTTATAATCTATCTGTTTTCATTCTGGGATATTGATTTTTTTAGATCCCCTCCTTGCCAGAAAGGCTCCACCTTATCAATCCCACAAAACTTGAAAAGGATAGGGTCCTTATTATGAAAATGTCTTAAACGATAAGACAAGCTATTATGTCTAAAACCCTTTTTGATGTTTCTAATGTGTTCACTCAAACGTACAGCAAGTTTTCTGGTAGTTCTCCCTAAATTGCAATTTGCAAGAACATTCTAAAAGGTAAGTCACATGAGTACTCGCACATGAAATACATTTCTTGATCTTATAAGTCTCTGCTTTAGTATAAGATTGGAAACTATCTGTTTTCTTAATTCTGCTTCCCACTGTCCTACAAGCTAAACACCTTCCACATCCGAAAAAAACCTGTTTGGTCTAGGTGCTTTTTTTGTGGGGGGTTTTATTACATTTCTGGCTAGCTTATTTCTCAATGTGGATGGTTTTGTATAAATGAATCTTGTGCTGGCTATCTGTGCCACCTTATCAGTGCCCATCAGTGCTGCCTATCAGTGCCTATCAGTGCAGTCTCATCAATGCACATCAGTGAAGGAGAAAAATTACCTGTTTGCAAAATTTTGTAATAGAAACAAAGAAAACCTTTTTTTTCCCCAAATTTTTTGCTCTTTTTTTGTTTATAGCACAAAAAATAAAACATCCAGTGGTGATTAAATACCACCAAAAGAAAGCTCTATTTGTGTGAAAAAAAATTATAAAAATGTCATAGAGGTACAGTGTTTCATGACCGCGCAATTGTCATTCAAAGTGTATCAGTGCTGAAAGCTGAAAATTGGCCTGGGCAGGAAGGGGGTATAAGTGCCCAGTAGGCAAGTGGTTAAAGTGGGTACAGGTAAATAAAAAAACTTCTTATCTTTTCTATATATAGTAAGATGCAAAAAATTAATGGACTCCCCATATATTTCCAAATATTTTTGGAAAAGGAAATGTTATAGTTATTTTAGCAATTTCTTTAATAAACTCCACAAAGGATTCCTGAGATCCTTCCCATATAATACAAATATCATTGATATATCTTTTATATAGCTTTAACTCTCTTTTTTCCATATATATTGACTCATGTTCTCATTTGCTCATAAAGAGGTTGAATACTGAGGGTGCATACTTGGTTCGCATAGCCATCCCTTTCTTTTGCCTATAGTATTTACCTCCATGCCAGAAAAAATCTATGACTCATGGCTAGATCTAAGATCTGTTTTAAGAAATCTTTTTGTTTATTTTTAAAATTAGTACTTTTTTGTAGAGCCCACACCACAGCATCTAATGCATTATCATGTCTAATATTAGTGTACAAAGAATTTACATCCACACTTGCCAGAATACAGTTATCCTTAATATCCACATCTCTTAGTATGTTCATAGGATCATTACTGTCCTTAAGATAAGATAATTTCTGAGCCAAAGGCTGGAGAAAGGTATCCAAATATTCTCCAGCCTTTGCAAATAGGGAATCCACACCACTAACTATTGCCTTTTTTTTTTTTTATTCTTGTGTATTTTTGGTAATTGGTATATAATTGGAACTATAGGAGCATTGAGTACCAGATATCTTGCCTCCTTTTCAGGGGCGGACTGACAACTCATGGGGCCCCTGGGCAATAGGGGATCATGGGGCCCTCTGTCCTTGCCCAAACTCAAAAGAGCCTATGAAAAAGGTACCAGGGGCATCTCATGGGGCCCCCTACTGACCCTGGGCCCTCGGGCAGTGCCTGAGTTTCCAAATGGTCAGTCCGCCCCTGCTCCTTTTTGTTCAGCATACAAATAAGCTTTTTAAGTTTGGCTTTATATTTGTTAGTAGGGTTCACTTTGAATACTTCATATGTCTCCCTGTCCTCTACCAATATATTTAATTCTTTCTCATAGTCATTGTTATTAAGAATGAGCACACCTCCTCCTTTATCCGCTGGCCTTATTACAATTTATTTTTCCAACTGTTCCAACCCCTTGATCAGATCTCTTTTTTGCCTAGTAGGGGGAATTCTTAATTATTCCAAATCATGCTCCACCATCGTTTTAAATGTTTCTACACAGCAATTATTATTAATTTTAGGATTAACCACTTCCCGTCCGGCCGCTGTTTATAAACGGCAGGACGGGACACCTCCAGGAGCGGCACCTTGTATCTGAGGCTCGTGCGCGGCTCCTAGAGCGCGCACCCGCGAGCCCGATGATCGCCGAGTCCGACGGACACGGTGGATTACGTGACATGGTATGGGACCAATGAAATCGGTCCCATACCATGTGATCAGCTGTGTCCAATAAGGACACAGCTTAAGTGTAAACAAAAGCCGCATGGTGCGGCTTCCGCCTCCTTCTCCTCACACGGAGTTGTCTGTGAGAGGAGAAACAGCGAACAATAGGTAGTAGCTAACTGCCCTCCACCTCAGTGACACCTGATCGCCCCTAAAGTGTCCCTGATCGCCCCTAAAGTGTCCCTGATCACCCCTAAAGTTGTCCCTGATCGCCCCAATAAGTGGCCCTGATTGCCCCAAGTGGCTTTGATTGCCCATAAGTGGCCCTGATTGCCCCCACAAGTGTCCCTGATCGCCCACAAGTGGCCCTGATCGCCCACAAGTGGCCCTGATCGCCCACAAGTGGCCTTGATTGCCCACAAGTGGTCCTGATTGCCCTGGATCGCCCAACAAGTGGCCCAGCAGTGTCCCTGATTGTCAGTGTCCCCGATCGCCACATAGTGGCCCAGCAGTGTTCCTGATCGCCACAGTGTCCCTGATCGTCACAGTGTTCCTGATCGCCACACAAGTGGCCAAGCAGTGTCCCTGATCGCCGCAGTGGCCAAGCAGTGTCCCTGATCGTCACACAAGTGGCCCAGCAGTATCGCCGCAGTGGCCAAGCAGTGTCCCTGATTGCCACTAGAGATGAGCGAA